TTTTTCTTCTAATGGGCTAAAGCCCCTCTTCCTCCCGCTGGGCCGCGAGCCCAGACCCTCTTCCTCCTCTCCTCGGGCCGCCAGCCCGTCCACTCCTCCTTCCTCTCTTCTCAACTTCCTCTCAATTCGGGCCTAAGCCCAACTCCTTTTATTTCTTATTTCAGCAGCCCACAGACCCAAAACCAGCCCCACCCGGCCCAGATTTCTAATTGGGTCCTGGTCCAACCGCGAAACTAAATCTACGCGCATAACTTCCTCGTTTTAACTCCAAATTCGACACCGTTCGAACCGGTGGTTCACGTTTTAAAATCCCCATCATACTACGGTGGAGTTTGACAAATTAAACCAAGGGTAAAATAGTCATTTTGACCTTTAGAAAGATCGGGGTGTAACATTTCCTCCACCCTTATAAAAAATTTCGTCCCCGAAATTTGCTCGGACTCGTCCTTTCATGCTTCTCTTTCTCGTGCTTCCTTGACTAAAAAATTTACTTGTTAACTTCGACGATGTCCGTTGCTTGACCCGTATAGCTTACCTCACTTATTCTATTCCATCTTGACCATAAGGGTATTCTTACCAAACTCGTTAGCATCGAGTAGCTTTGACTGGCTACTAGTCCTCTTTAATTCCCTCGCGCGGGTGATAGAATAAATTTTCGATTCCATTTAATGGTCCAGCTCAGTCAATACTTGTATTTAGACCCTAAATCGAAGTCGAGGTATCACATTTCCTCCCCCCTTAAGAAAAATTTCGACCTCGAAATTTGTTGATCCTGACTTCGACAAGCCTCATTCTTTACACCGTCTATCTCGTTGAATTGCTCCTCCACTTGTCGCCGGCTCCTTGAAGACTTGTCGGAATCCTTAAGACATATTCTAATTCCTCCTTATATGCTCCCATCATTACTCAAAGTCTAACTTCCACTACTCATTGGGTCGTAGCCCTACACTCGTTTCTCACGAACTCAATGAACCTTTCTTGCATCTTTTCCTCTCGATAATGTCCGCCATTTGTCATAACTCCTTGGCCATTTCCTGTCGACGTACTAGATACTCGGCCCCGTCCTGAACCTTATTCTCATAAGCTCACATCCCCATAGGATTGGAGATGCCTTAACCCTCCTCTTCTCACTCCTGTCTCCTGGAGTTATTTTCCTAATCATGATTTGAGTATAAACTGGAGATTCTAAAATTCTCAAAAGAACCCTGACTCGTTTGGACAAACCTTTAACCTGACACCCTTTTTCTTTTCCTTTAAAAACATAAACCATGAAAAACTCAGATCACCACTCCAGTATTCCTTGGAGACCAAGGAACAGAGGAGTGCCGGCTCTGATACCAAAATGAAACACCCCGATCCTTTTAAACAACCGAAATAATCATGGCTCCGGAGCCGGTTAAAAACAAAGCTTAAAAATTTAAATACAACTTAAACATTCCCAAGAAAAACGTCAAATGCAATGCCCTAAACACATGGGCAAAACTCAAATGCATAGTTAATAAACCTCAAACTTTGAACCTCCAGTTATACTCATAATCATAAACACAACTGACTAAACAAACTATAACTCCATGCTTAATTCCGGGACATCTCGTCAATGCTGGTGCGGCTGCTCGCCTTGCCTTGCTCCTCTCAAGCTCGCTGCTCTCTAACTCCTCTTAGTACTCTTCAAACTGGTGAGTGAGATGGGGTCAGTCTACGCCCTTACGTTTATTACTTTTAATACTTGAGCACTCTGCTCAAAACACTTACTTAAACTTAGGGAATGGTTTGTACTTCCGCCTTTAAACTTTAACTCTTAAAAACGGTGTTATCTCATCATTTATCTTCTTGGGGCCCCTACCTCGACTTAGCTGGCGCCACTACTAGCTTTACTTACTTTCTTACTTTCTTAAACATGATTACCCTCACAATGGGGTGCCCCTCAAAAGGGTTTGACCACCGCGGAACGAATAACCATCCGGTGTCAAACTACGGTGTGACTACCGCGGAACGTATCACCATCCGGTAGCACACCTAAACCTGGGCAATGGAGACCGCGGAACTTATCACCGTCCGGCTCCACGCCTGACCAACTACCGCGGAACGTATCACCATCCGGTAGTGATCAACTACCGCGGAACTTATCACCGTCCGGTAGGGATCCATCTAGCTAGTGGCTAGCTAAGCGAGGTTAACTTATTCTTGCTTATGACTTTCTCTTGCTCTTAGCACTTTAACTTAATCGTCAAACGAAACGTAAAAGCTTTAATTAAATACTCAAAGCTCATAAACATATCCTTCGACTATTAATCAAAAGAACACACTTTATCACCCATAAACATAAGCAAGCACACAATTTCACATAAAACAACTTCTTAAACACGCAAGGCAAATACTTGAAAAAAAATACGTAAGGCGTAGAATTTACCCCCTTTACACTCACCTTATATCCGTCGAAACCAACTCTGAATCTGCTCTAAAAATTCCATGACTTGCTGCCAATAAATTCTCCTCGTTCCCACGATTCCATAGGCGCCAACGGTTCCTCGATCGGACGTCAATTGATCGAGTTATGGCCAAAACAAATATTCGGTTAGTTTAGAAGTACTAAGTACCGCAACCGATATTTTCCAGTCATCACAGTTTACCACGACCTCTATGGAAAAATTACACATTTAATCCTCCAACTTTTCGAATTCCCAAGAATGGTACCTGATCGTTGACATATTCTTCCTCAAACTTGGGAGACTCGGTTCTCCCTCATCCGACGTCCGAATTTGATTTCGTCGACACCGTGACGCTCCTGAGATCGCCCTCTACGCAACCCTATCCACCTTTTGAAGTTTCTTCAAACTTCAAAAATTTCCAGATTCCGGTGAACGCCGATGAAGATCCGGCGAAGCTCCGACGAGGCATCTCCAGACCTCCAAATGCAAATCCGACTCCATGGAACGATTCCTGATCCTCTACCGAGCAAAAACCAATGCCCAGAATCCCTTCATTCCCTCTCTTTTCCCTTTCGTCGATTTAACCGAAAAAGAGAGAGGGCCTCTTCCTTTCTTCCACTTTGTTCTGTCCCTCCTCTCTAATCTGTGTTACCTTCCTTTTTGGTGGGGAGAATTTAAAACCAATTCATTCATTCCCCTCATTAAACCCAGCTTAATCCTCTGATACGTTACCCTCAATTTCTAAGCGCGTTCCCCCGCAGCCGTTTCGCCGAGTGATGCTCTGTTTTCCCCCTTCCTTTTTGTTTTCCTTTGGTCGATTTCACCCAGAGAAGCAAGAGCTTCTTCCTTCCTTTTTCTTCTAATGGGCTAAAGCCCCTCTTCCTCCCGCTGGGCCGCGAGCCCATACCCTCTTCCTCCTCTCCTCGGGCCGCCAGCCCGTCCACTCCTCCTTCCTCTCTTCTCAACTTCCTCTCAATTAGGGCGTAAGCCCAACTCCTTTTATTTCTTATTTCAGCAGCCCACAGACACAAAACCAGCCCCACCCGGCCCAGATTTCTAATTGGGTCCTGGTCCAACCGCGAAACTAAATCTACGCCCATAACTTCCTCGTTTTAACTCCAAATTCGACACCGTTCGAACCGGTGGTTCACGTTTTAAAATCCCCATCATACTACGGTGGAGTTTGACAAATTAAACCAAGGGTAAAATAGTCATTTTGACCTTTAGAAAGATCGGGGTGTAACACTAATCCACGAAGAGCTTGAAAGCTCTTGGACTACTGATATTATTATGACTTCTTGATAATAGCGGCTACAATGAAGGGCCTTCTATTTATACAACATTGGGCGGGCTTGCCCTAGACTAGACGAGAAGCATATGCTTCTTATACAAGGACTAGAATACGTGATACATAAGGAGAAAAGTAATATGCCTAATAAACTCAAACAACTAAGGCAAATTACAATATGATCACTAATTTATGTATTCAATACCATGTAAATCTGATAGCAGTTCAAACCAAAAGCCTTCGTCGAATATACTGCTAATCCTACAAAATAAAGAACAAAAGGATAAAGCTGACCAAGCCCACGTGACCTCCCAACTCTGTTATTGACACTGATACTTGATCAGCATGAACTCTCTCAAGTGTAGCAAGCTATGAAGTTCCATTAGAAGCCTGCAAAGCTAGAAAACGAAATGCCCACCTCTGAGCATAGGCACCCTGAGCATCAGCCATGTTTTCCATTCCAGAACTCCGGCTCCTGGAAAACAAAGAAAGCGAACTTCCCCTACAAAGGCAAGCCAAGTTAGCCGCGACAATGTCCAAATGATGGTAAAATTAGGGCACACAGCCTAATGAGCGCCAAGTAGGCCTGAGTAAAAGTCACATTTAACCATGGTAAAAAGGAAGCCAAGTAAAACAGAAAAGTTGGTCCCACTCGGTAACCAAAGAAGTAGTAGAAGAAAAACAATTAATTAAATCAAAGGTTAATGACAATTAATCACCACCCTACCTCCCCTGATATGAGCTTAAATGATAAATTAAAAGCATATATCAGTAAACGAATGGAAAGGGCAGAGAAAATTAAAAAAAAAAGACGGAAGCGGTAAAAGAAACAAAATAAGACAAAAAACTGGCCACAAACTAGTAAGTGGCAACAAAGGGTGATACTTATCACCCCACCGCTACTGCTTGGGAGAGAGCAAAATCGGATGATGAATCCACAAGAAAAACAAAAAACGAATTCGCGACGCACCACCGCGTTAAGGGTAGTAACGACATAGTCGCACGCCAGCAAACTGATGAGAGGCAGAGGCCTCTTGCCCCAAAGATGAAAGGGTCAGGACACCGGATTTGCTGTTGACTATGTGAGAGAGAGAGAGAGAGAGTTCCTTTGTCGTCGTCGTAACTCTCCCACCAAGAGAAGGCCGAACGCGACCCTAACAAGAGAAGGATGATAACATGCAGCTTGGCGGTGCGTGTTATTTTCTTGTCATTGTTGTTAGATTGCGATGAACAACTGAAATCTACACATCTACGCTCTTAACCAAAATTGAAACATGAAAATGAATTCTTATTAATTATTATGATTTCTCTTCCATTCCCAAAACTATTTTGTATCAGTAAGCATAAGATATGATGTCTAGGATCTAAAAGCTATTGCCCCCGAAGAAAACAAGGCGTTGGAAATAAGCTCCAACATTTCCTTCATCAATCACCTTGTATCGATCACTATCTGCATAGGTGTCACACCCTGAAGGATCGTAATTGATTAGGTTATTTTCATTTACTGTCGAAATTAATTTAGCATAACCATCTTGTTTTGCACTCCCAACAGGCAAGTAGCCGGAACCCATTGGAGGAGGGGTGGTTCCTGGAGGACTATAAACTTCTCCTCCCCATTCTGCGTAGTTAGCAAAGTTTGCTAATGAAGTGAAAATCTTCTTTGGCCAAACTCCCAAAACGTTATTGGAACCAACCCTGAGATACCAATCTCCATTTTCAGGATCCTGCTTTCACAACCAAATAACCATGAATCTAGATCATCTTCTAGGAGATTTTGTTTAAATCATCAATTCTAAATAATAATAAAACTATAGCATCTTCATAAATAAAATGAATAAAGAAAACTATTACATGTAGCTTGATTAATTAAGTATATATTAATTACCTTGCGAATAAAGAAATTTTCTCCGTATATGTTTCCACCTCTTTTTGAAACAGGGTTAAGAACAAGATCTATTGGTATATTATGACTCATAAGTACAAACCCAGGACAAAAGGTGTTGTAGCATCGCGAATCTTTTGTCTGAAAAGTAAAAAAAAGAATGTGATACCTATTTAAGAGTAATTATGAATTGGAATACTTACGGAAGCATTTGGGTTTAACTCAATTGGAGAAATAATGATAACTGAAATCCAAAACAAATCTTGGGCTGTTTATAAATGTGTAATACTAATAATAGAGAAACTTACAGTTGTGTATATGAAGAGTCGAGTTTGGTTATCTTGATACAAGCTTGGATTAACCTTACGCACAAAAAAGTAAGAAGAAGAACATAGGTAATTATACAAGTCTATAATTGGGCATTCATACATAGTTCTATCATTAGAGAATGGGGAAGCCTTGCTAGAAACAGTCAATTGTCAACTTACTACCCATCCTGCTGCAATACTATCGGGGCCATTTTGAAATTTAATCCGGCTAGAGCTATATTGGTTGTCTTTGACGACAGGATTATATACACTCGTGAACATTCCGCCTCCGTAATATAGTTGTCCCCCAGTGGTATGGAGCACGGCAACCTTTAAAATAGAATATGGTTCATCAATTCAAGGTGTATAGATGATTATAGTACATGAAAAATAAGAATTCACATATTACTTCCGAGCTAGTAGATGACAATCATTGCGATGTTAAATAAATTGGATTAGGGATGATCAATAGCTTACATGAACACCCGGATTGAGAATGACACCGGTGGCCAAATTTGGTTGTAGCGAATCATTTTCTGTTATTCTTTTGATTGGCACCATCCCAATTGGACATCCTTTACCATTTAACCATATGTCTGATAATTTGCTACCAATTAATGATCTTGAATCGGTTGTTCTTCCTACCGAATCTTGGAAAGAAAAGTTCATCTAAATGTGAAATCAAAGAAAAAATTGTTATATAACATTTACTCAATGAATATGTTAATTACAAAAAGAAAAAAATTGTTAAAGAAAAATGACATGTCCAACTCATACCTTAAAATTAAACTTATAATTCTTCAATAAAGGATGATCAAACGCTGGTTGCTTATAGAAATCTACGCATTCATATGTATCCCCGTATCGGGTCTACTTCAAATGTAAATAGACCACGGAAGATTCAATCACTATTAGTCATGATCATATATACTACAAAGAATACAAAAGATGGGCTAAGTTGTTTCAATGATAAACTAAGTTAGCAAACTATACTAATGGTAACCTGGATGGTGACAACTTCTTCAGATTTGTTTAGCTTTTGACATGTTATGAAATTCTGGGTTGATAAAATTACACATAGCAACAACAATAGTAGTAAGGTTGAATCCATGATGTTGCTCTTCATGTTCATCTTTCCCTGTAATTTTTTTTATAAGACATGAACTTAGCAAATGAGAAATTTGGAAGATGGAAAACAAGACACTTCCACTTACTTTTGTAGACTATGAGACACTTATAATGCTTACTTTTGTTTTTTCTTTGGGATACAAGACACCATTACCTTTACCCACCAATGTCTGTATATATAGAGAGAGGATGTCACTAAAAAATTCATACTATCTCCTTTTGTCCATGTAATTAAAGGTAACATTATCAAAATATTTAATGTAATTAAAAATAAGGATGTAAATTTTTTTGCTGCATTTAAGGTAATATTATAAACATATTCTCCTTTTCTTCCTTTGTTTCTTTAAATCTCTACATTAATTTTAAGTAACAAATATAAAGTATCCTTCTGGTTTCTCCTTGATTTTAAATTATAAAATAATTTCGAGAAAAAATAATAAAATTTTCGAAAATTAAAATTTGGACAAATGTTTTTTGGTGGCGTGGCTGATAAATGGCAGGTAGCCACTTAAGCAAGCAATGTTGAGTCACTAACGGTTAAACAAGTTGTTCGTTATTTTCAACGATCAACTCAAATATTGGGTCAAAGTTGTTCATAATTATTAAAATTGAGACCAGTTTTGTCACTATTGAAAGTTGGTGCCAAAATTGGAACCATATTAGAATATTTCTCCTACTGTCAAAATTGTTCATTTATGCAAGATTATTTTCCACTCAAATCAAGCAATACTTAGAAGATAAATTTTCTAGGGTTGTGTATACCCTCTGGTTTCTGTCTTCACTACCTTGGACGGTATATAATGTTCTAAAACCAACAAAAAAATTGAAATTCAACACAAACAAAAGCAGAAAATAAATGAACTCGCAGTAAATGAAGCCATTGCACAGAAAATACAAAAAAATCCAAAAGAAGAAAAAGAGGTAGATGACAACGTGCTACAAAAATAGAAAAAGAAAAAACATATCCACCCAACAAAGTCAATGCCCACCTACGATAAAAATCAAGAAAGGAGCACAAAAAAACTGAAAAGGAAATAAAATTACAAAAAAATTACAGATATTTACTCAACCTGCCCCAACCCTCAACCATTGCTGAAAATAGTCATCAGAGATAAGTCCAAAGGCCTGCAACCATATGAACAATCATATTGCAAAACTCAGAGTGTGAAGCTTCCAAGTCACGAAAAATTCTATTGTTCCGCTCATTCCAGATGGACCAAAACAGTGCATGTGTTAAGACCTTGGCAAAATCCTTAAGTTTTGGATCACACCACAAGACCCTCCAAGATGGGAGAAAACACCTGATATTATATGGAAATGGACCGTGAAACTAAAACATCTTTGTAAATTTTATCCAAATTGCCACCGAAAAGGAGAATGAGAACAAGATATGTGCGATGGACTCCTCTTGACATTTGCAGAGAGAGCACCAGTTGGTAAGAATCATGTCTATCTTCCTCGGGTTTTCGATGGTTGAGATCTTCGAGGGGGATGCCATTCAGATGAAACAACAGATCTTGGAGGAAATTGAAGAAATCGAAACCAATTTGGAAGAGTAGAAGACATAAACTCCAAATGCTCTATTAATGAGATTAGTTGTGAAAGAATTAACTGAAAAGACAGAGGACGACTTCAATGGCCAAACTAATTGCGCCGGTCCCATGGATATCCAATTTGATGGCAACAACGATAACAACTCCAACTGAACACGCTCCGCTTCATCTCCTCTTCTAAGAGAGATCATGAGGGGGATCTCGCAGTAAGGCCTGTCAACAATAGAAAAAACGTCAGAAACATAAGCATCCCAAGATTAGGCCACGAACCCAACCCTTAGGAAATCTCTCACAAGGTGTTTCCCAGGAATCCACACATCATGCCAAAAAGAAATCCCACCCCAGGATCGACATAGGCAACATCCCAAAAGTAGGAGCTCTCATTAACTATTGCCCTCCATACAGAACACCCATAGGACCCTAAGTTCCAAACAGGTCTCCACTCTGAAACCCTTTGTCAACACTTCACAACTAACAACTTCCTCCACCATGCCCCTCTCTCAATCCCAAGTCTCCAAGCCCATTTGCAAAGCAAAGAACGGTTAACAATCTTAAGATCCAAAACACCCAAGCCTCGCCTATCTGACAATCACTAAGGCTAGGGCTTTGAAAATAGAAAGGAAGTAGATAGGTATATTGGAGAGGACACTCTTTAATAAAACCAACCTTCCACCAAATGAAATTAACTTGGCATTCCAAGATGCTAACCGCTTTTGCACTTTTTCAATCATTGGTTCCCAAATATCCAGTGAAGACGTCCTAGCTCGCAATGGTAATCCAAGATATGTAGCTGGCATGGAACCTAATTAACAACCAAAAATGTCTGCAAGCTGTTGTGGCTCCTCCACATCCCCTACAACCATCATGGAACTCTTGTGCAAATTCACCTTTATACCAGATATAGTTTCAAAGAAGGCCAAAGCAATAAGGAGGAATCGAACTTGCTCCTCTGAAGCATCACAAAAAAGTAAGGTGTCATCTGCATAGAGGATTTGTGTGACCTCCCCGCCCCTTAAAGAAACCTTCAACAAGTCCATTGGATTGCGAGTTTTGAGGATACCATAAAGTACTTCCATCACAAGTATGAAAAGAAATGGGGAGAGAGAATCACCTTGCCTTAATCCTCTCTCACTCGAAAAGAACCCAGAAGCTTCACCATTGACCAAAACTGAGAAATTGGGCGTCATTATACACCCTCGAATCCATGAAATCCACATAGGTGAAAAACCCATACTCTTCAAAACAGAAAAGAGAAATTGGGCGTCATTATACCAACTAATCCATTAACACTCTGAATCTTTCCATAAACACTTTTGAAATATTTTGTAGAGGCTAGACACTAAAATAATGGGTCGTAGATCGTTAACATCACCAACTGCCTCCATTTTGGGAATGAGACACAAAAAGGTATGTTGAACACTTTTCGGGAGGATTCCGGTATTGTCAAGCTCATTCAAAGCATCCAAGACATCCAATTTTACTATACTCTAAGACCACTTGAAAAATCCCATAAGAAAGCCATGAGGACCTGCAACATGATCTGCTTTGCTTTTCTTCAGAGCTTCTCATCTACACCAATATATACAAAATTGTGCACGATTTCTATTTTGTCACAATCTAATTCATTAAGATCATGACCTCATCATCAATAGCCTAATCATCTGATTGTTACAAATAGTGTCTTGTCTTGGTGATCTAAGGCGTGAATTCTCGTTTTCCTTTAAATTTAACTTAGCTAATCCTTAAATTTATTCGCCATGTTAGATAGAACTAAACTTAGTATAAATCATAATATACTGAATATTATTAAAGATACAAGGAGTTACTCTTGCATTAGAGCTTTTCTAAAGTGAGCCACTGTCATTATATTAGGTAACCAATAAGGCCTTCATCAACACGTGGCTCCAGGCACACTTCTTTATTATATTTGCTTAGTTTAAATACTAATAAGCTGTCCATAACAACCATCCATATTGATGATTAGTAATTCATAGAAGTTAAATATGGAAGACGCAGGGGAAAGAAGAAA